TGTTGCCACGCTGCGTCAGAGCAGCGTCCATCAGAAATTTTATTACTAATGCATTATATAGCAGGATTCATTATAAGCTGTGAAAGACTATAGATGTGGACAGAACGTGAGGGGTAAATATATTTAAAAGGCCCTTTTCTGATAACCTTTTCTTAAGCATTAGCTCTCCTTTTGAGGAGAATATCGTACGTAGCCTTGGTGTCCCAGCTGCCAATGTGCCAGGGCTGATGCAGGACACGTCTGCGTCTGGTCACTCGTGCTGGAGGGTTGTGTGGGAGGTGTTTGCTGCCATGGGCTGTGCTTGGTCCATACTTGTGCGAGCTTTTGCACGGAAACACAACTTCTTTCTGGTCGCTTGAACACACATATTGCCTTGTCGTACCGCTGCTGCATCGGTGTGAGAGAGGTAAGGCCTTTGTCTCTCCTTTGCCTCTTCCTTGTGCAGCCACATCCTTTTGTGTTTGGACAGGGATTTTAGGGTTGTTGATGCCTTATTGTAATAGGAGCCTATCCTTGCTATTGGTGACAAACTGAAACGGCTTATTCTCCTCTTGTACCTTGCTGCTTTTGGTTTGGGCTTCCTGGCACATTGGGTAGCTGTGTGTAACACGTGCCGTTACCATTCAGTATTTCTTTCCGGCAAACAGGACCCCAGAACTTCTCCTATAAGATTTTTGCAACAGTTTGAACCTTTCTTACTCATTTATTGCAAAATAAGGGAGGCATAAATGGCCTTGCTGCCTTGTGCCCTGGCATCCCCAGCCCACACAGCTCAGCTGACTGACCAGAGCCCTTTAACTCCCGGAGCTGCTCCTGCTGAGCTGTTGGATGAAGGATGGGATGCTGGAGACAGGTCGGGAGCCAGTCCCGCTCCCGTTTGCCCTCCTTCTCCTCAGTGGGAGGCATCGTCTGCATGTTTATTTTTGTCTCACATCTGCTGGCGTCGTAACAAAGATTTAATGATATGACACAGTTTTGTCACCGGTTCTTTTTTCTGTGGCGAGTTAAGCTTCATCACTGGCTGCTGGAGAGAGTCAAAAGCTTTAAAAATGACAAAAATTTGGCAACTCGTGTAGAAACTCACCTGTTTGCCACAAGCACCCATGGGCTGTCATCCGACTGCATTTCCTTTTTTTTCTGGACAGAAAAGATAGGATTTGCTATTTTTGCCTGTCGGTGATCTCTAAGCATAACCACAATTAATCTTTGCAAAAAGAACAGCCATGAGGGACGCGCAGAAGAGTCCTATGAATGGGCCAAATACTCAAAATGTAGAAACACGGTCCGTCTTGAGCGGGCCTGGTGCTGGGCTTTCCAGTCACATCTTCCTGGGACATGCCCTCTGCCTGTTACTTACCATCAAACACAAACCCGAGCCAGTGCTGTTTATACAGATATTTTGCTCCATTGTTTGGATGATGAGCCACATCTTTTGAGAAATAAAGATGTCAGGCTCCCGCTGAGGAATATCTTCAGCCTTTTTGACCCAAAAATAGCAAGCGGATTTTAAAGACATACTTCTTAACGCTTTTTAAGGCAGATGATCTGAAATTCCTCCAGGTCCTGACTGTGTCTTGCCTGGGCACGAACATTGAAAATGAGGCCTCTTTTCCTGGAGGACTTCAATACGGGATGTCTGCATCCCACAGCTGGTTTTGCCTTGACGGAGTTTGGGGGTTTTTTTTGCTTGCATTTAAGCTGGGGAAAAAAAGGTGCATTCCCCAGAGCACTTCTTATAGGTCTGCATCCTTATAGCTGTGCGCTGTCGGGAATAAGGGCATGCGTTTGGTAGTGTAATTTTCACAGAATCATTAAGGTTGGAAAAGACCTTTAAGATCATCAAGTCCAACCATCGACCTGTGCACTCTGGGCAATATCAGAGATTTCCCCCTCTGCAACCATGCTGTTCTGCTTCAAGCTCCTGTGACGCTCCTCCTATTGCCTGGGGAGCCCTTGCACTCCCCTCCTAATTTCACCAGCCCCGTGCTTTGCTCGTGCGCTCGCCCATGTGCTTGCTGGTGCCCAGTGCCCCCGCTGAGATCCTGCCCTGGGGTCCCTCGCAGCCCCTCGGATGCTTTGGTGTAGATGCCAGTGACTGTTTTCCAGGGCCGGCCAGATCTTTGTCCCAGAGCTGATACCCTGTTTGTATTGCTTTTGCTATCCTGGCCAGCGAAGGGACCTGGTCAGCAAAGCTGTAAAATAAGGATAAAGATACAGTAATTGCCAAGTCAGAGCTCAGGCGGTGTCTGCGGGGGCCGGAGCTGATAGCACCAAAGCTGGTGACCTCCGTGTCCCTCCAGGCAGCTTCTCCTTTGGAAGGACGAGGAGATGAACTCTCTTCAAAGCCTGCTTTTGGGCTATTGTATGAAATACAATGCTGGGGAAATCAAGCTCTCCTCTTTCATAGCCGGCTGCGCAGCCCCATAATCACGGGTGACCAGAGCGGATTTGCATGTTAAAAGGAGTGGCTAGGGGCACTTAAAAAGAAGAGGAAACATATTCATCAAATCTAGCTTTATCCTTATGAATATTATTATTCCTGGGGACAATACACCCCAGACCTCATCGGTGCAAGCCCGCATCTCCTCTTTTGCTGCTTCTCCCCTCCTCCCCCTATTAATGGTTAATGTGCAATGCTCTTCGTCCTGACATTGATACCGCGCTGGCTCCGGGGGAGGAATTTGAGAAGGCGGTTGTTGGAGCATGTGGACCGCAGCAGTCGAAGCAGTGCCCTGGCAGCAGCGAGGGGAGGGCTGCGGGATACGCTGAGGCTGCTCCCAGCTGATGATGGCTTGCGGGGAGGCAGGTAGCCCAAAGCGGGATGGGGTGATGCTCTAGTCCCACCCGAGGAGGTGTCTAGGGAGGGCTTGGAAAGCGGACACCCACCGCAGCCCCCCCACGAAGGGTTTCTCCACCCCAATGCGCCACCCGGACTATCTGAGCTGTGGTGCCTGGGTTCTCTGCACAAGGCAGGATTAACCTGCTCTGTGCGTGGCACAAAGTCAAGAGCTTACATGGCAGCAGGGCAGATCTGGATTAAGCGTGCCAGAAAATGAGTGGTTGTAAGGCAAAAGGCAGCAAACTGCTGGGACAAATGGGCTGGGGAGGCTGTGGTGGCTCCATTGCTGGGAGGCTTTAAGGGTGGGAATGATTGGGACATTCATTCCCAATGAATGAATTGGGAATGAATTCATTCATTGGGAATGAATGAATGGGACAGGTTTCTCTTTTGAGGTCCCTTCTAGCTATATCTTTCATGCTTTTATGATTGCTGATCACAAAAAAACTTGAAGGCGCTTTAAAAAATAATCCTCGGGCCATGCCCTGCAAGGCTTTCTTTAGCAGCTTGATTTAGAGGGTGAAAAAAAAGAAAGCAAATGAAAAATCTAGGTGGGAACCGCAACCTCTCACACCTTGGCAGAAGTGATATTGAAGTAAGGAAAGTGGAATTTCTCTGGAGCCTGAGGCCAGCTTAGATGTCAGAGCATCCCTGCAATGCCGTGTGGCTGGATACAAGAGCAGGGAGGTGCGAGGGACGTGCGTGGATGAGGATGTTCAGCATTGCTTTCTGGACCCTGAATGTGAGTTGGCAGATGATGCGACCTGAGTTCCTCGCTGTGTCTGACCAGGCTTGCAGCAAGTCCTGTCACCTGCCTTGAAGGCAAGTTTCTGCTGGCCTGAGCCTCTCCGGGGGAAATTCAGATGCTTTCGTTCTTTTCTGGTGCTATCACCCAGTATTAAACTGGTTAAATCGGCATGGAGCCCTGGTTTCTCATGCTTTCTAGTAGAGGTGGTGGCCTAGGACAGCCTTGCTGAAGCCCTGGTTGTGGTTCAGTGCAAGTTTTGTGGTTCCCAAAAAAACTGAAAATGGCTCAGTTGGTTGCTCAGCTTCAAGGGCTTGAAGGAGGAGCTCCACTTGGAAGCAGTGCCCCATCTTCTAAGCTCTGCATCTCCTCAAGTCTCCTTCTCAGCACTTCATGATACTTCTCTATGAGCTGAGGACGAATAAGTTAATACAAATGACGTTAACAATAAAACGCAGAGGCTTGGGAAGGTTTGCAGAAATAATCCTTGTTATCCCGACTGGCCATAACCAGCCGCTGCTATGTCTGGCTTCTGACCTTTGCTGTCTCCCTTTCAAGTTTTAGCTCTTCGTCAACCCCTAACGTGTCTGTGAACGTGTTACAAACATACGGGCTTGCCCAAGCGGTCGCGATCTGTGGGTACCTGCAACCCGGGTCCCCAGCAAAGCCTTTTTGCTTGCAGTATGTGCTTCTGCCTTTAAGAGAGACAAGAATATGCATTTAAGATTTGCATAGGAACATGCAGCTGTTCCACCAAAAATGGATAATTGTTCTCCCTGCTGTGAAGTTAAACAATAAGAAGTGCCAAACTGCATTTGCCATTGCTGATTTTGTGCACTCAGCTGCATATTTTATGCATGTAGATTAGTTCCAGATTTATGACGATTTAACTGTTAATGCCTGCGTTAATTGGGCCAGGTTGTAGTTGCTGTGGCAACTATAACTTTGAATTTTGCGTAAAGTTCCATGTTGCATGTAATGCTTTTTTTTTTTTTTTTTTTTTGAGGCTGTCTTATGTTTAATATCTTATGGTGAAAATGGAGAGGGAATCAGGGCTGAAAAGAAAAGTGCCTTTGGGCAGAAAACTAAGTTTCAGCAGAGAGAGTAATTTTTCTGGAAAGTTGTGATGTCTGGGAAATAAGGGTTTGCGATAGAGTGCAATCTTGACCACAGCTATATAACTATTATTATAAGCGTGTAACAGCTATTATAGCTGCTGCAATACTGTCATAAAGAAAACAGCTGAATAACTTATAAATGTCCTGAATCCTAAATACAGGACTGAAGTTCTTGGGTCTCTAGATATTCCTTCTGGTGGGCAAAGGAAATCGCTGATGTGTGTTTGATGAGAAGATAGGTTGGTGCACAATTTTACCTTTTTTAATTTTTTATTTTTTTTTTTTTTAATATTTCCAGAATACGCCAGTGGGCACTCCGATTTTCATAGTGAACGCCACGGATCCGGACCAGGGGGCAGGAGGCAGTGTGCTTTACTCCTTCCAGCCTCCTTCCCATTCCTTTGCCATCGACAGCGGCCGTGGCATCGTGTCGGTGATACGGGAGCTGGACTACGAAGTGACTCAGGCGTACCAGCTCCAGGTCAACGCGACGGTGAGTCTTTTTCTGCCTGCTGCAGGAGACGAGCTGTTTTCTGGAAGGGCTGCAATGGGGAAGGAGCTGCTGGTTGCCTATTTTATTGTCTCACTCTGGCATCTTCTCCAGCACATCTAGCATTTTCCACTTAGAAAGGTATTACAGTATTGCGGTGCCTGGGTAGTTTCAAATCGCTCGTGGAGCACAGCTGCACCTCTCCAACAGCATCGTATACATGTCAGGGGCTTCTGCATAAAGGCGAGCAGCTGCCTTGGCGAAGGAAGCCAGTACAGGGTGTACAGCCCGTTAAATCCTCCACGCTCATTCCTTGTGCATCACGGCTTATTGCAGGTGGATTCACCTCTATTAAGTCTGCTGAGGCTCACTCAGTAAAAGCTGAGTTCAGACCACAAGAGTTAAAATTTTGGTGGATGGAGGAGGAGGAGTCACGGTCCTAGTTACAGTAAATACCACCGTACCAGGAGGGGACCCCTGGGAGAGGTACATCGAGGTGGCAAAATTCACGCCTCGCCTGAATGGGAAACTTCTTTCCTGATGTCAAATCTAGCGAGAGCTCACTGGGGAGCGTGCCATTGAGGAGCCCTTTGCCAGCAGGCAGCCTGGGTGATGGCGCCTTTCCCATCTCAGATACAACAGAGGAAGGTGAGATTTAGCCCTACAATACATCTGACCAACTCTGCATTCAGGAGAGGGGGCGGAAAACCCTTCCCAACCCCTTCAGGCAGCTGGGTAGAGTTCTTGAAGCATGTGATTTAATCAAGATCATTGTCTTGATGCCCAGCCACAAATGTCATGAGGACACGGAGGGCTGCGCAGGGCTGCTTTGCTCTCCACGGCCACAGAGGCTGGGCATTTGCAGACGGCAGGGCCACAGGCAAACAGCTCAACCTTTCAGCTCACTCCCTGCACATTTGAGGCTGTGGCATTTTTCCCAGAAGCTTAGTTTTTTCTGAAACATACCTCATTTTATTTTAAATACTCCAGCGATAAGAGGCCCTGCCTGTTATTCGGTTCCTTGTTGGTCTCTGTCGCCGACACGCTTTCCCAGGACGTGCTGTTGAACTACCTAGTGGGTTACAAAACATGGGACCAAACATAAGTCCTGATGGACGCGTGCTTTTCTTTCCCATGCCTGATTCTGGTTTCCTCAAGGATGCCATCTCGGTTCATCCAGCTCCATCTAGCCCTGTATCCTAGGTGCAGTTACCCGCAGAGATAAAATGGGGGCATATCTGGTACCTGCTACCTAATACGCTCCTGGCTTCTAGTGATTCCCAGCTCAGGGAGTTCAAAGACTTAAATATTTAAGGCTCTGAACTGGGCTTGATTGCAGCTGTGGGAATATCTCCTCTGTTCGGTCGCAGGGTGCAGGGAGTTTCTGGCAGAAAGGCAATGAGAAACCCCTGGGCAAAGCTCAACCTGGGAAGGAGGGTGAGAGTTGCACCAGTGTAGCAGGAGCTGGAAGAGCAAATGCGGTCTCTTGCCCACCTGATGAAGAGTCGGCATGGTCTGGAGTGGCAACTGGGGTGATGGTGAATTTGGGGTGGCCGCAAGAGCTGTGGAGCCTTGGTTCAAGGCAGGAGCTGTCTCATCCCAGGGATGTAGGCAGCAAAGGCAGAAAGAGGCTGGAAAGGACAGTGTGAGAGGTGGTAGGTGAGGAAACTTGAAATGTGCTTGCTTTTTCAGTGCTATCTGTAATACTTTACCAAAATTTAAGAGATGAAGGGGAGGGAAAAAACCATTATCTAAAGAAACAAAAGACTTCAACCTGTAACGCCAACAGCAGAGTGCGAATCAGAAATAAGCATCCATCCAGGCCATAAACGCTGAGGCCTGCAGGTTAAGAGGATAATGTACGAGCTGTGTTGTTGAATACGGCTTAAATTAACATTAATCTTCTGGCAATCAGTCCTTGCCGCTGTTCACAGCCATTTTGCAGAAGTATGCGGTAACCTCTAATGGTCGCCTTTCACCACAGTGCTTGATTAGGGGGTAAAGAGGTTTATTTCCTTCCCTTTGTGTGTTATCTCTTTGCTCCTGCCCTTTTAGGTAAAGGGCTACGGGCATTGGGGTCGCTTTTGAGCACCCATGGGACGAGGCTCCAGCAAGAGGACTGGTGGCAGCAGGGCATTGCGAGGACAAGCTGGTGGCAGCGTGTACTGCTGTTGCGTTGGCTGCTGGAGAAGGGTCTTGCCCTGGGAAGGTGCTCGTGGCTCCGACCTGATGGGTTGTGGTGGCATGCGAGGGAGATGATGCTCCTGCTCAGAGCATTGAAGTGTTCAAGGGCCACCACTGGTTGTCCCAAGATTGCTGCGTGCTGGTTTTGACCTGCTTCGCAGAGCAGGGAGGTGGGGAGCCATCCTCCCTGCATCTGTGGAAGCAGCTTGGCTTGCCTAGAAAGGCAGCTCCTGCTTACCCCGATCCTGCCAGTCCCTGTGCAAGGCGGGACAGTAGAAATTTGCAGTTTATCGGCGACAAAACCATTAGCCCAGTAGAAAGGAGGTTGCTATCGCCAGGATGTGTCCTGCGGTTTGGGTTTCCACTCTGCCTTCTGCACGAGAGCTGAGGCATCCTACAATGCTTGGTGCACGTACCCTCTGCCAAAGCTCAACGGAAAAGAATAAAGCCGCGGCTGCAACACAACCTGCAGTCTTATGAAGAGCAGCGGAAAGGCAAGGGAGCTGGTGGGCTTTGTCATGTTCCAGCCGACGGAGCCCAAGCTGTGCGGAGGCATCGGCGCTGGGGGGTATAAGATGCTCTGGCGTGATGTCCTGGTATGAAAGCCTGCTGGCAACCACACCTGGGTCTTGTGCGAAGGTGCCCTAAGGGTGTATCTGTATTAGAAGAGAACTTGTATTTTGAAGTATATGTTGAACAGTGTTGCTGCTTTTCCAACCAAAATGTGATGAAAACTGAATTGGTGCTTGCTCCATTTTAAAGGGCTAATGCTGGAATGAAATGCATATTGTATTTCAGCTTAGAGGGAGGTACAGTGGACAATAATTCCAGCAGGTAGCTTGAAAAAGAGATGATTACCTGACTATTCAGAAATTTTGACCCAACTATAACTGCAAGAGACTTAAGGCTGTTGAATAATTCTATTTCTCTGATAGAAATCCTTTCTCTCTCCCTCAACCCTTGTTTTTTCAAGGACCAAGATAAAAACAAGCCTTTGTCCACTCTGGCCAACCTGGCAATCACCATCACAGACGTGCAAGACATGGACCCCATCTTCATCAACCTGCCCTACAGCACGAACATCTATGAGAACTCGCCTCCGGTAAGGGCTGCTGCTTCACTGGGATGTGACCTCAGTGTTGCGCCGGGGGCCAAGCGAGTATGGGGCAGATGGAAAGCACGAGGTATCCCACAAGAGCTGGAGGAAAACCTCTTCCAGAGGTATTTGTCCTTCCTTCTATCACAGATTTTCATTGCTTTGCCCTGACGTTTGCGGCTCAGGTGCAAAGAGGAGGAGCCTTGTTTCCATGCTAAAGCGCAAATGCTCTGAATCATAAGATTCAAATGGCATCCAAAGAGAGGCAAGCCTTTTTCTTTCTGGAACATCATGTTTCAAGCCAGCTGCAAAACATTTTGCCCTTTTTAAAAAAAGGGAGCCTGAGCAAGGAGGTTTAGGAAGCCTGAAACCCAAATAAAATGTTTTCCTAAACATTTTTTCTTATATTTTAAAAAGGCTTTCTGTTGTTCTTAGCACGGAGTCAGCCATTTCCTCCCCACAGCATCTATGCATGCCATTTCTAATAGAAAAGTTGAAGAAAAATGTAAACGTTCCTGAAATGAGGCAGTTTTGAAAATGCCAGAATCATCAGCCATTTCAGCACTTTGAGCATTTTCCCCCAGGTTTTGCCAAATTGATCCAATCATTTTAGTTCTTCTGAAACTCAGTTTGTCAGCAAACTCGCTGTTTGTGGAAAACATCTCCCAGTCTCTAAATACAGCAGGGCTTTTTTTCCCCGCAGCAGACGGCGGGCAGCTTCAGCTTTGGGAGCTGTTATCTCTGCTCCCAGGACCTTCAGCCCAAGCACCAGCCCTGCTCAGCAGCATCCGCCTTCCCAAGGCATCCCATAGCTTTGTCTATAGGGCAAATATTTTTGTAGATGGATGGAAAAACCTTCTGTCCTAAAATTGTGGCATGGTAGGCATCCATACTACATGTGTGTCCCGTAACGTCTCTGGGGCACTGAATCCAAAACGCCTGATGGCTCGGTTCATGCAAGTGGTAGGGGAAACTCCAGCTCGTTTTAGTTCATGCCTTTTTTTATTCACTTTGGAGCAAACTGCTGGCTCTGACGGCACGGAGAGTGCTGGATCAATAGGGCTGAGTCCTACTGTCACAAATCCCGCGGTCAGACAGCACATTACCTGTCTGCCGGGCCTGAAGATGGCCAAAAAATGGCTTCATGCATCACTTTCATGAAGTGAAAGTTTCAATGAGTTTCAGTGCTGTTGAGATTAAGGACTGCTGCTGTGGTGGGCAGTATGAGCTGCAGGGAAGAAAAAACACCACTTAAGATCACCCTCAACTGGGGAGGAAGAAGCCTTAGATGAAATTATAGAAATGGAAATACCACGAGTATCAAAAATTATAGACTACATCACCTTCATGGAGTGACCTGGTATCTAGGAAAGGGGATCTCTCTCAAAGTAATGATGTATATTAAGGCTGGAGCTCAACGATCTCTTTGTGTTGATACACCAATCACAGTAATTCCCAGAACGTACGCTGTTTGCAGTAGGCAGAGCAGCAAATAATCGCTGTGTAACCTGTAATAGGGAATAAGTGAAGGAGGAGTGCTCACGAAAACAAACTGTTACCAGTTTTCTGACAGATTTAGAGATTTTAACTTCTCTTGGCCCCATATAACATCTCCAACGGCATTGAGATATCCAAGATGGATAGGTGCCACCAGAGGCATGGTGAAGAAGACAACTACTGAACGAAATACTTTGGGTGGGATTGCTCTCTGGTTTGGACCCCAAGTCCCATCCTTCACAGGAGAAATCTCTGCTGCTGAAACAAGGATGTGGTTTGCTATGGCAAGCCTGGGGTTTAACATGTACATTTTTGTCTCTCCATGGGAGGTCTTCTCATCAGCTCTGCCCTACCGCCCAAGGGAGCCAGTGATAGTGCGGAGTGGAAGCTGTCACCTCGCAGAATGACTCAGTTACCAAAAGGGTAACAGCAAATTTGGGTGAGGAGTCTGGGCTTGTCCAGGTCAAGCCAACAGGCTGCAGTGCATTTGTGGGTGACATTTGCCCTGCCACCGGGCTCAGTGGGTCAAAACGTGCTCGAGACATCTCATGCCAGCCCCAAACCTGCAGAGCTGAGACTTGCTGCTGCTCCACGCGTCCGCTCTCTGTCTCTCTTGCCTCTCTTTTTATCTGTGGTGCACAGCATGTCTGTGTTCCTCTATCAATGTATCAGGCGAGAATACCTCATCTAAAGTGTATACATTACCTAATAAAATCCTTCTTATTTGGGATTATTGCATCAAATTTTAATTTCCTCACTCGAGTAACAGCATGTCAGCCAGCCCGTCAGTGAAGAGCCGATAGAAGGTGAAAAGAGTGGATAAACTGCAGCAAATTACCGCAAACAGATCTCTATCAGCCCTTTGACTGGAATTGACTGGAATTAAGAAGTGAGAAATAGGATTTTTTTTTTTTTCTGTGGCAGCTTTCTGAAGCGCTCCCCCCTCCTCCTCCTGCTGCAACGCTGGGCTGCGCTTTGCCTTTCAAGTCCCTAATCCTGTAAGAGAAGAAGAAGAAGAAGAAGAAAAAGGGGTGGAGGCGTGCGAGAGGGGAGAGAAGTGCCATGTGGCTCTTATTTTTCGCAGGCCAGGATCTGGAAGCATAATTTAGAAGCATTTTCGACACATGCTTATTTGGACACTGGAAAAAAGAAATTTCTTATTGGGCAAAGGAAGAGGATGCAACAGGGAGAGACTTTGCTGGTCACCCTGGAGGTGGTGTATCTTCTTCCGTGATGCTGTTTATCATCTCAACGTGCTTCAGACATTTCTCCCAGGGCACCCAAGTGCACCAAAGCTGCCTGCAGCTGTGGCAAAACTTGGCGATGTTGTATTTTCCATCCTCAAAGTCTTTGTGGGTGTCCGTCCTCACAGTGTTTGTAGACTGGATAGCATCGTTCATGTTCTCCAGACAAGTTAATAGGTGCTGGAGCAGAGGGGCTATTTCCTCTTGCAGAGATGCTGTTGGTCTGATGAGGCCCTGCTTTTGGACCTCAGCTGGTGCATGATCTAGGCAGCATCGCAGCTTCACTTTGAGGGTGCAAGAAGAGGAATCCACTTGCTAAGAGAGAAGCTGAGGCCTATGAAAGTGTGCTTTATCCCACAGGGAGCCACACAAAGGCAAGAGGGGATACAAACCCCACTGGTAGTTGTATTCCCTTGCAACAGTATGGTACAGATACATGTCAAATATCATTAGAACAGTTTTAATTCTTCAGCACCATCCCCCTCCTCTTCAAAAACTCCTTGGGTTAAAGAAATAATGTAGAATCAGTGCTATTTTTGCCCTAGAGTCTCAATAGCTCAGAGTTAATTCTTTCTTACAATATTTCCAGCCTATCAGTGTGAACACTTTATTAAAAGCTCAGGGTTTTATTAAAAAAGGATTGATTTACCCCTGCCCCTCTTCAAAAAAACCCTCAGATTTTGTTTGGATAATGTGCCATTCTTTATTTTCTTTGCCTTTTTTTTTAGGCATAGGCTTTTCCAGATTATTACTTTTCTAAACCTTCTAGAGGGAGAAAGTTATTCTGTTCTGGTGCTTCGGTCTATACCCACCGCCCACGTCCTTTCCTTGCAGCCACCGTTGTCTGTGGTAGGCGGGCGAGGTGTCACTTGCTTTAAGAAACGTCAAGAATATTTGGGAGTTTCCAAGAGCTGCAGGTTCAGACCACAAATACATAGGGTAAGACCTGGGCAGAGATATTGGTGCTGGAAGTCAGCTTGGTGTTTCCACGAGTAAGTGGAAGCCTTGCCAGGTGTGTTTGGCTAGAGAGGGTGGGAGGATGCCCTCCAGTTTAGGGGTGCAGCTGGCTGCCTATGGGAGCCAGAGCACAGCATCTCATGCCCTTGCTGTGCCAAGACTCAGATAGTGAAAGGTATCTAGGTGGTCTGGCAGGATTTGGGAGGAGAAATTAGAAATTTTTGAGCTGTGGTTGGTGAGAGGTCAGTCTTTGCCATTGTGGGATTCCCGTGATCAACAGTTTGTTTTGGTTTTGGGTGTTTTCCCATTCCTAGTCTCTCTTCTCTGGTTAGTTATCTCTGCTGATATGGTGAGCAAGACACTTCATGATGGTCACAGGTACTAAGAGATGGGTGTAGCCTGTGTATAGCAGCATGTTTTGCATCACATCGTCTCTCCATCTCACTCAGACATGTGCTGAATGAGAATACTCCTCCTTGTTGACTGTGCTGAGCAATCATGCTCCTAGGCTATCTTCATCAGTTGTTACCACTCACTACAAAACCAGTAATTGCCACCAGCTATGTGGATAACAGTTATGCCTGTCCTGTGGCACTTGTTTGACCTCTTCCCCAGAAGCTTCAAGATTGATCCTAAACACCGTGTAGGTGCTTGGGGAGGGATCATCCATTCCCAGGAACTGGGATCTGCCAGTCTTGTGGATATTGGAAGCCTCTTGTGAAGGAGCTGACAAGAAGGATGGAAACCAGGAGGGATGCGAAGGGGTGGCCAGGTCCTTGCCTCTGCCGTGGTTCCAGGAACGGTAGAGTGCTCAGCCCTGCATGAGCATGTGTTTCTCGGTCACTGGTGAAGTGGATGGGCTGGTGAAGGGGCTGGCGGAGAAGGAGGCACCACTCAGGGTTGCAAGAAGAACGGGGGGAGACCCAATCTCAGAAAACAGCAGCATGAAAACTGTTGTCACGGGCTTCCCAAGGACCAGGCAAACCTTAGCATGCTCTCTAGCAGCCTTCATTCTTGGGATCAGATGTCTGGATAATTTCTGTCCTGTGGACCTCTCTGGCACATGCTGCTGAGATACCTGAACAAGATTCCCTCTCCTCCCCTCCCAAACTTTCCTGACTGCAACATCTGAGCTCATGGTTTTATCTCTCCCAACAGCCCTTCCCCTTGGCTCCTACAGGAGGGACCTTTCCTGCAGATAAAGCGGACCCAGTGTCGGCCGGCTGATTGCTATTCCTCAGCCATCGTGGGAGCCCTGCCTTCTCCCGTAGCTGCCTTCCCTTTGAAATGTGCCGCACGGCAGGCGACACTTACCATTCTGCGCCGCTCCCTCGCTTTTTGACAGGCAATGAGCAAGCTGTCAGATGGACCAAGTGCCTTCACCTACCTCCCCTGCCACAGAGGAGCTCCCGCTTCGCCGGGGAGCAGAGCGGGGCTCGTGCTGGCCCTGTGGGCATGGCAGATTAAAGCAGAGTACGTTGGGGAGAGCGTGCTGGATTGCATGCCTCTTCTTTTTTTCTCTGCTTTGCCTTGCTTTCCTTTCCATATGCCTTGTTCTGCTTTCCCACCTGCTCCTTTCCCACTTTTCTTGTGCTTTTTAGCAATCCTTGCTCCTTTGGAAAGGACAGTTATTGTCGGTGATTTAGAGGATCTCTGGCGGCTGCTGAGCCTCACCAGCCGAGTGCTGCTCAAAGGCCACTGACCTGCGATTTATGGCTAATGTTGTCAGTTAATAATGTGGATTTACTTAAGGAGTCTATTGAAATGCCCTGGGAGATCAGGAAAGGGGCAACCTGCCCAGCCCCAGGAGCCTTCTTTATGGCCGGCTGTGGCAAAGATGGCAAGTCCCCGCTTTCCACTGGTGATGTTTCTGCAGCAGCTTTCCCTTTGGCCTTCAACTGATGGATTGCAGGACAAACACAGCACCGCTGTCCCACTGTGCTCCCTTGTTAGATATGCAAACGCCTCTGTTGACATTTCCTTTGAGGGAGGAAAAAAAAAAAATTGCTCCTTTTCCCACTGTTAATAAACCAATGAAAACAAGAACAGCTGAGTTGTAAATTTTTTCACACTACGTTAATTATGTGCATGTGTTTGTACTCACATGGGCTCACTGCCGTGCAGCAGGGGAAGTACAGCTTACGGAGTTGATAGAAGCGCATGATCTTTTTATTTAAGGAGCTAAATGAGAATTTTGGATCACATATTCTTCATTGGTTTTGAGCCACTCTTGGCCTTGTGGGCCTTTTTGCTGGGGTATAAGAAACAGGTTTGTCCTGCAGGATGGAGGATGAGGTGGGTGAGCTGGAAGTTGCAGAAGCTCCTGCCTGTGGGCAATCCCCTGTTCTCAGCATCTGTCCAACCCTCCTTCTCCTTAAAGGTTTCAGTTAAAATCTCTGCAGCTCCCTTAGTTACGCAGCTGGGTGCCGATGGTCAGCACGAGCATCCCTCGTCGCTTGGGGTGCCTCGATTGAAGAACGCAGGGGGAGAAGAGGACCGGTTGAAACTGGGAAGACCGTGGGAGATAAAACTGGTGTAGTGACCAGTGCTGAAGCTTGTGGTGAGAGGGAATTGTCGATTTTGCTCTTGAGGGACTTCAGAGTGAAAATCTCTGCAACAGAGAAGTGTGTGCTTTTGCCTGTCAGCCAGAGCCTCAGCCTGTGCAGCTGTGACACTGCAGGGCAGGGTGTCCTGGCTTTCCAGTGCTGCACCTTCAGCTCCTCCTTCCTCTTCTTCCTCAAGCGCTGATAGCTGTGCTCACCGTGCTGACCTTGCTTCAAACCCTTCTCCTGTGGGCAAGGGACAAGCAGTGTGGGGAATGACCCTGGTGGAACTCTCTCCAGTCCCTGTGGATGCTTGCCCTGGCACAAACCAACTCTATGGTCAAGGTCAGCCTGCTCAGTGGTTCAGTTAGTAGGACATGCTCTGCTGGTCCTGCCCTCAGCATCACCAGCTGCCTCCTGGGGTGGGTTAGCAGAGTTTCGCAGCTTGCACAAGAGTGATGAGTGGTGAGCCCCAACTGCCCCAAGAAGCAGGGATGGGACTTTTCCATGACATGCCTTGTCCTTGGACAGGTTTTCCTAAGCACATGGCCCACGGTAAGAGATGCAATGCTTCGGCAGTTTCTAGGTGAGCTCTGCTCCCACTGCCCTGCTCCAGGAGCCCCAGCAGTGCTCGGCTGGGGTGGCTGTAATGCGTGTCTCCTCTCCCTCCCCAGGGTACCACCGTCCGGATGATAACGGCGATCGACCAGGACAAGGGCCGTCCCCGGGGCATCGGCTACACCATTGTCTCGGGTAAGTCATGGGGGGATGTGGTGGGAACCCCAGCTGGGCCAGATGATCTAGCCCTGCAATAAGTCTTTGTACACCCTGTGTCTGGGAAATCTTATTTGGCTAAGTTTCTCCTCGACTGTACTGCTGTCAGAGCATGTTGTTCATGGGATCTCCCTTTCCTTGAGCAGCAGACATTATTTCTAACAAATTTGCCAATATCTCATAGGAAAACCTTTCAGTCCTAATGACGAGCCACAAACGGCTCTGCTTCACGCAACGCCACGGAGGAGACCTGCAAAAAGCCGGGCGTAAAACTCTTGCTGGTGGTGCGGTGGTTATTGTTTAGGGAGAGAATGGGACTGATTAACTGCTCCTGGTGGTTTCCATGGCACTTCCCGAAAGCCTTGGTGCCAAGGGCTGGCATTGCCAGAGCTTCGCAGGCTGAGAGGTAGGGTGCTGGACCCGCGAGGGCACGGGGCTAGAGAATTAAGCTTAATTAGAGCGGTGGAGACTTTCTGCCTTCTGGCAGCCACGTGGATTAATCCTGCCTTCGCAGACTGACTCCGAAGCCCGGGGAACCCTTCCCAGTATGCGTGGGTAGCTTGCTGAAACTGATGTAGCGGGTCACCCACGGATTCTTGCTGCGCAATGCTTGGCTCTTTTAGGACGATAGCTCGGGGACCTCTTCTGACACCAAAAGAGCCAGGGGCAGGACAGTCTGGGCAGGCGTTTCCAGATAATACACAGCTAGCTGCTTTTTGGAAGGGCCAATTTTTGGAGCTGGACCTGTCTTATTTAAAATGCCTTGAGGTCAGCGAGCCTCTGCCATATCCAAGGCAGACTTTGGTGCTCGCTGGGCTGCACTTAGACGCTGCTTTTGTGGGGCTGTGCCTCAGGACGGACAGACTACTCAGGTTAACCCAGGAGCGGGAGACCAGTTTGGTGCATCTGGGTTGTAGTCCTATTTCTGGCATTGCTTTTGAGGGGGAATCTTCACAGCAAGAGATGGCAGCAGTGCCTCCTCTCCCTGCTGTGCCACATGTTTCGGGTGCTGGCTGGCAGCTCCTTTGAGCTACGCGTGTAGAAAAATTTCCCAGTTTTGCTTCCTCAAAGCTTAGGCATTTCAAATGCTCTTTTAATCAACCTCTAGGGTCAAGGTGATTTCACCCTGACTTTCAAGTCCATTGATCCGGACTGCAAGTATCCAGGTCAGTCTGCCTTTGAAGATGCAAGGATTATTTATTCCTCTAATTCCCTCTGCAATTTATTCTAATGTTCCCCCAGCATGAATTAAATGAGAGATTCCCCCAGATCGCATGTATCCATCTGGGCAAAGTGCAGCAGGGACTTTCTTTTGACTGATGCGGGCTCTTTTTCACTGGAGACTGGACCGAAACCTCAAACTAATTTTGCAGCCGCCGCTGAACTACTGTGAGAATGGTAAAAGCTTTCAGCTTAGAGAAACCTCACCCAGCTCAAAGCCTGAAGATGCTCAGTGGGTGGGAAATCACCCCTGTGCTGTTCATACACCCTCCTTTGGGCATCTGATGATGACCATGGACCCTTTTTCTGACCCAGTATGCTGTAGGTATCTAATTTTCCCTTGTCAGTACCAGTGCAACACAAAGCTCTGGGCTTCCGAGAGCCTTTATTTGACAGCTCAAACCTACAGAAACAACTGTGCAATCTAAAGAGGGGTAATTCGCTAAATGCATCCCTCCACTCGTGGTCACGTCAGTCTTTCTGCTCACTGGGCAGTCACGGCTGCTCTACCGAATCAAGGAAACCAAACCTGACACCCTGGGTTTTTACCTGGAGTGTTCATGCATGCTCTTCTTTTTGTGGCTTTGGCTTTCCTGTGAAATGGCCACGGTGCCCCTTTGCGAGCGTCTCCCACGCAGTGCCAGGGTAGCCGTCAGCCTGGCCGTTACGGCCGGGCGGAGGGATGGTGGAAGGGAGCCAGGCATGCTCCTGGACCCTGGTGGTGGCGGGGTGCGGAGTGACAGGCAGGCGGATCAATGCAAGCATCATCGCATCTCCTTGCGTATGCTAAGAGCTTAATCTCTGCCCCTGGTCCTGCCTGGTGGGGGGCAGCTCTCGTATCGGAGGATCAGGCAGAACACATCAAAGAGTGATTAAACGGCTTTGCTTTTTTTTTTTTTTTTAACCCAAACATGAGAATTGCAGAGTGGTTTTCTAGCTGGCCAGGAGTCCTCCTCCCGTCGGCACCAGCATCTTGCAGAGTGGTGGTGCTGGGAAGGATCAGCCCGTGGATGGACGGAGGGATGACTGCAGACGCCTGCTATCGCCTCCCACCTCCTCCCCATCCTCACCCTGCCTTTAGCTTAAGGTCGAGGTTTCCAAAATCCCTGAAGCCAGGCTTCAGAATGCTCTGCTTCCATTTTTAATTGAGTTTGTTTCTAGAGACAGGGTTTGCCAGCTCCACTTAGCTGCCGGATTGCGGCTGAGATGCGTGACTGAGGGCAAATTTTAAAGAAAACAGGGTCTTGGGGCAAAAAAATTTTTTCCTGAAGTCAGTAAGGGTGTAAATGCCTCCTCGGCTCTTCTCAAGGCATTCACTTATACTTCCCATGGTTTCCTTCTTGCTTTTGAAAGAAGATGTTACCTTCTGATGTCTGAGAGTCCGGACATGGGAACCAGCAGCTAACGCACCTCCAAAATCCTGCTCACCCAAGGCAAGCGATTTTTTTGGCAGGCAGGTAAAGCCTAATTAAATTCTCATTATCCTCAATCACGATGGTAAAGGTCAGCGAGCAGATTTTGTGCCTGAGCTGGTAAATTTTTATGGCAATTTTACAAAAAAAAGGTCTAACGTAGGGAATGATGAAGCAAATTAAATTAGAAACCAACCGTAAGCAAAAGTGAAAATGGCCGGTGGAGGTAGTAATTATACCTGGCTCTTCAGCTCACTTGCACTAGGGGAGGTGGTGGTGATGCTGTTCCCATTCCGTGGCAGGGATGGGTGATGCCTCTCCCCAGCTCTCCCAGGATTTGAGGCACCGGGCTCACATGTGGCTGGTCTGATTTTACCTGCTGGGGTTGAATATACAGCAGTGAGAGAGCTGAAAAGCAACCTAGCCATTTATCATTCCTTCGGTATTAATATCTAAAGCATTGGTATGATTTGGAGGCGGGGTTTAAAAACTTTTGGAATTGCCGGTGTCCTGTTCAGCTCCATCCCTTGGGTAGCTGTGCCTCGGGATATACTGCAGCAGCTCTTATTTGTACGGCTATCTCCAGCACAAGGTCCTCCTGTGACAGGAAAACAATAAAACTAAGAGATTAACCATAATGACATAAAATAAGACTTAAGATCTAACTTTATGCTGCCAGCTTACAAAGCTGTTAAGCCTGAAATGACGGAGGAGCGCTGATCTAGCTGTGTCGTGGCATTGACTAGTTGTCCTGTTGGGACAGACGAGCCTGCCTGCTGCCTGCCTGCACTGGGAATCATTTCCGTATCTCACAGGGAAAAGCTATTTAGTTGTTTCTCCCCCTTCCTTCCAATCTGAGTGTTTTAACCCTGTGAAAACATGTACTTTTTCACCCCGCGCTTTGTGAGGAGCGGGGTCACCGCCCTGCGAAAGGCCATTTGAAAAAGAAAGCCAAACCGAGACTTCACAATTCAAGCCCGTCGTGCCGACAGGCTGGTCGGGGCCGGGGCTTCCATCGCTCCAGCAGGTGTTTCTGCTGTTGTTCCCAGGCAAAAAGGAGGGTGCAGGCAGCCCACGGCCGGTGCCCTGCAAAAGCCCTTCCTCCCTGGTTCCCCGGCTGCTTTTGACAGGTTGGAGATGCTCAGCCACTGAGGTCAGGACTCTGTTTGAAGGACAGATAATTAATCCTGCAAAGTAATCCACGGTTCTTTTTTGGCAGATTTATGGAGATAGCCTCTGTACCGGGGACTCTGCCTCATCATCTTTCATTTCCCAGGCAAAGCGAGTGACTTGTTGTATAACACGACCTGTTCTAGATAAGGCTTTTCATTTAGGGGAACTCTCTGGTCTAACGGAGATTGATTTTCCCGGTGGAAATGGGAGGGCCCCCGGCGCTCTCGGCAGAATCAGGCCTGCAGACGGCAGTGTGTTTTCACATTTGCTGCTGCTGCGCATCACCTGGGGCGTGGGGAATCCTTTGGCTCTTTAAGAGAAGGACTTTTATCGTGAATTACATGGCAATTTAATTAATAGGTAGGAGGGGACTTTGGCCCGCGAGCTCTTGTTAGGGAAACGTATTGTGTGACTGCAGTCTCGTGCTTTGCTTGCTAGCGGAAAGCTTTGGGTTTATTTCCAGGACACTCGGGAGACTTCATGTCTCCTGGCATGAAGATGTGAAGGTGACCTGTGCTGCTTGGGCAGGCATCAAAGGGTTAAACCAGGACAAAAAGGGTCCCGGGGCTCTGCAGGATGCCCAAAAGTCAGTCTCTGCCTGCCTGACACATTTCGGGTGCGATGATGGATGGGCAATGGGAGATTGCACAAGGGCAATCCATACGTCCTTCCCAGCGCTTGGAAAGTTCTGCAGGAGAGAAGGGAGGGAGCGCAGGGTCTTTGGTCGGTGAGCTGGTCCTCAAGGCTCTTCATGAACCCTTAGGGCATTATTATTTTTTTTTTTTTCCCCAAAGTTGATTGTTTTAGGAGGCTGATGCAGTTTCTCAGCAATGCGCGCTCTTCCTAAAGCTGGTGTGTCCCAAGGGAAGCATGAATTAAAAAATCATTATTTGCCCAGTGTAATAGAAGCATGAGTTACAAAAGCAAGAGGGAAGCGTGTCTGAAAAGAATTGTTCTCCGTCTTTCTTCTGGTTTTCCTGCTAAGGAATAAAATACTATATATATATATACACCCACATATATATGTAAAAATCAGTGCAGTAGCTCTCAGAACATGTTTCAGATGGTCTTAACAGATCTGGAGACCCCCGCTGCCTTCCTTTTGAAAGTGCAGCACGAACCCTTTAGGTAAGGTTAAGTGGCCAAAGAGGTCTCCCAGCCCTCAGCTGCCAG